CACTTGCCCGCGGAGACCGGCGACACCTGCGGCAGGGCCTGGCAGAAGGCTCGATGGCGGCTGGCCAGCACGCCCAGGTCGGCCACCATGAAGGAGTCCCGGAGGTCCTGCCAGGCAGGAGGGGAAAGGACGGTGGGTTTTCTCTCAACTCCTCACAACTCCGTGAGGCGGGTGCTCGTTCTCCTGCTAGGGAGGAGCGAGGCTGGGAGGGTGCGGCCACACAGCAGCACGGCCGAGCCTGGGTCTGAACCCAGATGTTTCAACTCTTGAAACAAGGGGGCCAGAGGGAATCGTCTTTCAGACTGAAGTTGGGAAAAGGTGGCCCTAACCCCTACTCTGATGGTTTGGCACGGGGCAGTCCTGAATGTCAGGGCAGAGGGACCAGGGGGTGTGGAGCAACTGTCCCAGACCCCAGCAGAAGGGAGCCCTGGGGAGAGGAGTCCACCTTACCCTGCAGAGCAGGAAGCCTACTGCCCTAGCAAGGGGCAGGGGCTCTCCTCCCGCCCCTCCATACCGAGTCCGAGAGCTCCTGGATCTTCCTTAGGACCAGCTGCAGGGAGGATTCCCCTGGCCTCAGCGCGGTGAGCTCCTTGGGCCATGCGCTTCCAGGGGGCCCTGGGCTCTCCTTCGGGTCCACAACGGGGGTGATTCTTTCCGACACCCCAGCCGAGCTCTCCACCAGGCACAGTCCCGGCACCCTGGAGAGCAGGGGCTTGCTCTGAGGGCCCGGCCTGCTCCTACCTCCTGGCTCCCTGCAGGCCCTGGGCCCAGGGCTCCGCCCACAGCCCTTTTCAGCCACGTGGAGCCCATGGGGCCCTCCGGAGTTCTCCCATCTGGGCCGCTGCCCAACTCGGCCTGACTCAGAGACCTGGGGTGGCAGCCAGCAAGACACGCAGGCCGTCCACACAGAGCAGGACGGCCCCTCACATGCTGCTCCTGTGCACAGGTGAGAGGGCGGTGCAGGGAGGACGGTGCCAGGCCCAGGGTGCTCCAGATCTTGGGGCAAGGGGCGCAGGGAGGAAGGGACAAGCTCAAAGTCACCAGGTGGTGGGAGGCAGACCTGGGCCTGGGCCCGCTGCCAGCCACAGACCCCGAGACTACGGCGAGGCCAGCTGCGGCCTGTGCTCCGCTGGCCGGCGCTGCACGCTGCAGACACGGGCCTGTGCGCCACTCATCCCAGACTCACCTGGTACCCATCCCCTGCTTCCTCACAGATAACCCAGGAGGCTGGTCTGTGGTGTCCAGGGCTTCAGGTTGTTCCTGCAGGAAGAGCAGAGTCCAGCCAGGGTCTCAGGGCAGGGCAAGTGCCTCTCCCTACCCCCTCCGAACTCTACCCCCCTCGCCTGCTCACACACGCCTCCTCCAGGAGAGCACCCCTTCCCGGGCCCCTCCACATGGGCACAGGCTAGAGGCAGACTCCCCTTTGAAGTGACTGTCAGCAGCAGCCAGGGTTAGAGAGACCTGGAAAGGCTCCCACCCGTGCTTCCCGCCTTGCAGGGCAAACTGGGGGCCAGCAGCCTGCGCTCAGCAGAGCAGGGGTGGAACTGGAAGCAGAACCAGACCTCAGACTCCAGCTGGGGCTGGTCCCACCGCCTTCGGGGCCGCCGACTCTCCTGGTGCAGTCTTGCCCTCTGCTGCGGATTTAAATGCCTCGCTGGAACCTTCTCCCAAAGGATGTGTTCAGCTGTCTGCGTCACCCGGCTGCATCATCCCCCTCACCCTCCGCCCACCCTCCCTTTCTGTGCAGGGCTGTTGCAGTCCTGCTCTGTGACCTGCTGGCCCTCCCAGGCTGAAGCCACCACCTTGGGGAAGTCCCGGCACCTGCTGCAGGCTTACATGACATGTGACCCAGAGCCCTTCTGCGGCAGAGGAGGTTCAGTAGGGAGCTTGCTCCCCCCGGCTGTTGTTCTGCCAGCCTGGCCAGGATCAGGAGGATGGCAGAGGTGGAGAGTTCTCCATGCCTGGAGACCGACCCTCTCTGTGCCTCGGACCAGTCGCTCTGCTCTCCAGCCTGCAGGCCGCCGTGGCCCTGCCTCCTGGGCAGCACAGCCGTCAGCCCTGCAGCCCGGGTGCCACTTTCAGATGGAGGGGCTGTGGGCAAGCTAGCTGACTGCTTGGGCCTCCGCGTCTTCACCTGGAAAACAGAACCTCAGGCGTAGCCAAGCTACGAGAAGGGACCAAAGTAACGCCACGTTAAATGTGACATAACCCCGGCCTTAGAGATGGTGTGCTTCCCTTTTGCTAAGTGACCTTGTCTCACCTTTTAACTTCTAACCAAAGCACCATTTGGCTTTGCTGAGTTTCCACAGGACCTGGGCCTTGAGACCCCCACGAAGAGCAGATGTGGCTAGGAGGGTGCATGCTGGCCTCTGGGGCGAGGTGACACGGCTGTGAGGGCGACTGCAGTGCCAGCAAGGCTTCGTGTGGCCCCTTCCCTCCTCGCTCATCTTCTCTCCCCACTGAAGTCCCTTGTCCTGGTCTGACTTCAGACATGGTCTTTGAGCCTCAGTTTGCCGTTGTCCCGTCGTCCGGAATAAAGCTTCCTTTTCTTCTCAGAAGCACTTGCCTCTCAAGTCTGCTTTCAAGCAGGCCCAGGCTCAGTCGCCCGGCCGTGTCACTGACGAGTCTAAGAAGCATGGAGACGGTACAAGGCATGCCTCAGTAGTGCTGCTGGAGTCTGTGTGTTTCTGTCCATACGAATCTAGGCTCCCAGGTCTGAGTCAAATTCAGGTGGGAATTTCCAAGGTAAATATTCTCTGCTTCACCCAGGGCTGAACTAAGACACATAACTCTCTGTAGGTTAATGATATTGTGATGTCTCTTTAAATGAATATATTTTTTTTGAGAGGTTTTTGCTATAGGGCGCGTGCGCTCGCCAGACAGAGACAGAGAGACAGAAAGCGAGAAATCACCCCCCATGGGGGATGGCCACACTGCAATTCCTTCTCCTCCATTCTCCTCTTGGGATCCTGGGCACGCACACACACGTACCCTGCGTGAGTTTTAAGCCACCGGGTCCAGGACGCGAACCGTGGTTGACTATGTGGGAGTCCAGCGACATAGCCATTACGCTAACTGTTGGTCCCCAATGAATATTATTTTTAGAAAAACATATTTATGAGATACCATACATCAACTATTTAAAGTGTATATTCTTAACCAAGGAGATGAAAGATCTGTACACTGAAAACTGTAAGAGGCTGTTGAAAGAAATGGAAGGAGACAGAAACAGAACAGAAAAACCCCTCCTAGGTTCATGGACTGGAAGAATTCATAGTCAGAATACCCACATTACCACAGTAAGCTCTAGATGCCATGTCATCCCTGCCAAAACCACGGTGGAATTTTTCACAGAATTAGAAAAAAGAATCCTAAAATTCACACAGGCCACGGAAGAGCCTGACCAGCCAAAGCTTTCTGGAAAAAGAATAAAGATCCAGGCCTCACGCCTGACTTCCGCCTGTATGCAGTCTCCGGAAATGTCACCGAGGGCCAGAGGTGGCATGATGGCTAGGGCAGATCCCACATGGCCATCATATGGTTCAAGTGCTGGACCTGGCAGCTTGAAAAATACGTGTGCATGTGTGTGTGTGCGCATGCGTGCCCCAAATCCAGAGGTGGGAATAGAGGAGAAGGGGCTGTGGCATGACCACGCCCGCTAGAAGGCGTTTTCTCACCCCTTTCCCCGATTTCTCTCCAGCGAGCGCACACACGTTATAGGAAAAAAATCATAGAAAATGTACATTATGAAGAAACGATGGCTATATGGCCGAGTACGTGATGAGGTGTGAAGACTACACACAGGGAAAGGGAGAGACGGACCAGCAGGCGCTGGGAGAGCCGGATGGCCACATGCAAAGGAACGGAATAGGGGCGAAGGGCGACGCACACGGAACGTGGTGTACCGAGTGGAGGGGGCGCTGCTGCCGAGGGCGATGCCGTCACGTTCGGTAAGAGCCTGCTCACTCTGCCGACCACCCAGTACGAAATCCCAGGGATGTGGTGACAGCTGGCACCCCGTTTAAGATGACGAGACCGAAGCACAGAGAGGAGGGGCAATGAAATCTACCCACAGGCCCCGGGGCAGTGAACGAGGTGCTGCACTAAAACCCAGAGCCCAGCTCCCCATGACGCTTGAGAAGAGCACAGTAAGGGCAGCCCCAAGGCCTAGGGGTTAGGGGAGCCAGGTCCTGCATGGCTGACCGACACGTAAGTCCTGGTCACGTGTGTGTGCACCCCAAATTCCAACAGGATGGAAAAACAGAGAAAGGGTTGAAGCATGACTATATCCCATTAGAGGTGCTTTCTCTCTGTCTCTCTCTCTCTCTCTCTCAAGCTCACATGTCCTCTGGCAATTAACAACAACAACAAAAAAAGAGCACATCAGACCACCAGGTGGTGTGGAAGTTAAGGTGCTGGATCCCACATAGCCAACTGCATGACTTCAGTCCTGGACCCAGCAGCTTGAAAGTCAAGCCAGGCAGGGACCAGCAGGTGGTGTGGTGGTTAAGGCACTGGGCACTCGCACATGACTGACAATAGTAGGAGTCCCGGACCTGGTGGCTTGTTTTCTCACTTCCTCTCTCTCTCTGTCTCTCTATCAAAATAAAAACAAAAGAATGAATAAATAAAATTGAATAATAATTCTTTAAAAAAAGAAAAAGAAAAGAAAATCATGCCAGACATGTGTGTGTGCCCAAATCCTGAGAGCAGAATGGAGGAGTGTGGTATAGCCATCTCCCTGGTGGGGTGACTTCTCTTT